ACAGCGTCCTCATCAAGATTTAATTAATTAATGTATAAGATAATTTGTTGATTGGTAAGCTTTTAGTAGCCTATCACTATTGCTTTCTTGATTACACAATACACCGAAATTAAATACAACAAACTCTGCTCGGGGGCCCCGCCCACTGTAGTCGGGCCAATCACGCTGTTTTTCCAGTATAAAACGTCACAAATATGCGGCGAAACAGGCAAAAATCTTGTGGCGGCGTGTGACGTCAGACGCTGAAAAAGTTCGCCACTTGCTTTAAAAGCCACGTGTGTACAAAGTTATTCCTAATTGACGGCTGAACTTGGTCCGGATGAACGGTAGGAATGTAAAGGTAAGTGACTTTTAGATGTTTTGACTGAGTGTCATTCATTTCAGCTCAATAGCTTAGACTTCACTTAAAGTGGAAGAAAACCACTTTTTTTTCAGCTTTTTGCTTTGCTAATTAAAAATCGTGGCTAACCCACAATCATATTTTATCATTTAAGTATTTAAAGTACAGCTTTTTTGTCGTCTATTTTATTTGTAAAAGGAACTGGTTATATTGTATTAAACTTCTAATCCACAATGTTTGAAACTAACAGATCCATTGGGATTTCTGCACATGGAGACCAGGTGGAAGTTGTCCAGTGTCCAAGTCCATTCCTGAAACTGAAAGACAAGGTGAGTGATCTGTGGATTCAGGTTTTCTATTTAATAAGAAAGTGATTATTTGACAATTAACTCCAAAATCTGAGTACAGTAACATGAGTCTACTCTGACTTTTTTTTAATTTTTGTATTTTCCAGATCATGGTCATCCTGAAGATCTTCAACACAGTAAGGCGCATCATTTTTCTTATTCTGTGCGGGCGCTGTGCTGTGTGCATGTGTGTGTGTGTTTGAGTGTATGAAAGAGAGCAGTAGAAACAGCAAATGGCCACCTCTGTTTTGTCTTGTTTGGTTCCTTTTAGTTTTTCCTGTCTTGAGTTTATAGGCTGTTGAATCAGGGTTTTGGAGCAAGAGCCATATATAGGAGGATGATTAGCCAGTCTGTAAAGTCATACAGGTGGATGCCTCTCTGCTCAAGGTAGTTGTCACTCTGGTCTTTTTTTATTGGTGTGGATGTGAAACTGCTGAGCAAGAAGTTAAATGTTGGCTCTGGGTCTGATATCTGACCATGGTGGTTCAGTATTTGTAGGTATCAGAATGTCTACAGTGTGTGTGTGTGATAAGGCTTACTGGATGAATGACTGGAGTGGTTTTAGGCTCAGCAGTTTGTAGTCATTGAATGTGAATGATGTTCTGTCTCAATATGTGTGCAATAACAATCCTTACATTTTAGGTGCTGTCAACAAAGGGTGAGTCCAAAACTTTGTCGTCTCTGGTAAGAGATCTGTTCTTTCCCAGCCGCCGTGCTGATCTTGCGCTCTTACATGGCTACCTCCCATGACCTTTTTTCCAGCTGCTGTGCTGATCTATGGTTCTATTCTGCCTTTTTTTTTCATAAACATCTTGCATCTAAAAATGGCTAGTTGTCGGTCAACATCCAGTAGACATAATGGCCACTGTTCAGCCTAAAATATATAGAGTCTAATGCACCATAATATGTAATAAGTGTAGCAGCAGACTTTCCCCAGTGTATACTTTCAAACCTGTGTATATATGGGACCAGATGTGGAACCAGGGTCTGACTAGCATATTGTTGCTCACCTCTGAAGATGAAGTGAGCTTAGTTTGAACTGTGAGGATGACTTGTTTTGACCACTGTGTCAAAAGGTTGATGTCCAGTATTGGGTACAGAGCCAATGTAGCGCCTCCTCTTGGCTGCCAAGCCTACCTGTCTCCTGTTGTTTGTTCTCAATGTGGCCTAATATCTCAGGAACATTTTACCTTTTTTTTATTTATTTTTATTTAGAATTCACTGGCAGTTTATATAATTGCGACATTCCACAATTTTGGTATCTCGTATGCGATCTTTCTACTATTTCGTCCTTCTACAATTGCGATCATTTTCTACAATTTTGGATCTCCTGGTCTTTTTCCACAAGTTTGGATGTTTCGTTTGCAGCCATTTAACTGCTGTCCTGTTTCGGACCAGAGTGACAACCTGAATTCCAGCTACACCTATCAACATCGATATCCAGGACTCTAAAAGTCATGTAATTGTGCCTTCCTTTTTACGTTTGTCATTGTATATTCATGTTAATGGACTTGCATTTGTACCAATTGTCAATGTATATTCATGTAAACATACTTGACTTTGTACTTTTTGTCAGTGTATATCTGTAAATTTGCTTGGCTGTTAGCCTTTTGTCAATGCTACCCCCAAACTATCCTGAGATTGATGGGTTGAGCTGGATCCATACAAGCTCTGGAACTACTGTGTACTGGACTATAGGCTGAAAGTGGCCCAAGTGAACCAATGCCCTTAGTAGAAAGATCTCAGACACAGGACATCTTCAGGTTCGTTCTTCACATTTGAAAATTGCTAAATCTGTTCATTTTAATCTGTGCACTGATTGGTCTGATCTGTGGGTCTAGATTTCTGTGGAGTTGACCGAAGATGGATTCTGTTTAAAGAGACCTGGGGTGCATTCAGGTTTGTACTTAATTATAATTTCTGTTGTGATCAGTTGGTTATTTTGCATCCTTGCTATCTCTGCTGTTCTTGAAGTTGTGGGTTCTTTTTAGCATACCGTTTCTCATCTGTTCTGATGCCAAAAGTTGACAAGTTGGCCTTGGAGGTGTTTAGGGGAGCACCAACACCTGGTCCGAAGGCAGCGTTCCGTGACCTCAGCAGTCTGATTGTCGCGCTGTGCTTTTGTTAGTGTTAACAGTGTTGGTGTCCCTGACATACTGTAGGTGGTATTGTTTAAATACGAATATTCAGGTCAGTTGTGCCAAAACAGTCAAAGTATTTTGGCGGCATCTGCTGGCCAGATATAGATTTGTCTCTTGGCAGGTCTGACAATTTGTTGGTCATTAAAATTTGATGACGTTTCTCCATCTTCAAACGATAACAACAGACAAACAGCAAGCGTAGTAGTGGTACCTTTCCTGCCTAATATTAGACCACTCTCCCTAATGCAAAAAAGACGAGACAAAGATTCAACTATAACCATTGTAAAAGTGCAAACCTTAACGGCATTTATAGAAAATGCGCCACTTTTATTTAATTCTTTGAAAGATTAAGAAAATATTCAGCAGCTCTGTACATCAAGCATGAGTTGGTCATGCTTGGGTGATGGTACCAGACAACCTGAAGAAAGTAAACAAGCTTTGAACAGGAGTTGACTGGTCTTTCAGGATATTTCCTGACTGTCTTGATGGTCTATTTACCTTCACTGTGAAAATACACAATGCAAGTTTCATGTGTGATCAGGTAAGCTTGTTGTACAAGTCTTTAATTTCAGGTTTTAGCATGCCTGCACCCGGTTTTGGATAAACACAGCCTGTCTTTGATTTGCAATTTCAAATAACTCAAACTTTTTTCTAACATGTTTGTATTCCAAGTAAAAAAATGATTTATTAGCAACAGATTTTTTATATATATATAGTTTTGGATTGATTTGCTCCGTTGGCATAACAAGCTAATACATGGACACTGAGTGCCTGCAGCTGACATAGCTACCACAACAGAGCAAGTGTAGGCTCGTGGGTTGGACTTTCCCTGTTTCTTACAAACACAATTTGTGAGCTCTGTTATGCAACACTTGCCAACTCTTAATGGCTGAATGGATCTTTTAACTATCTGTAAACACGGTTATTTTTCTCCCCACTGCAGCAGACATCCTTGTACATTCGGTAGTTGGAAACTACATAACTGACAGGGAACAATTGGGCTTCACATGCGGTGGTCTTTTAGTGGTATCCTGATAGTAATGCTTTATTTCACCTTGTGCTTCTCCCATGAGTTTAACAAACACAAAAATCTCTTTTTTTTAATTTGTATTCCCATGTAATATGAATGCCAAGGCAAAAGTACAGTGGGTGGATAAAGACAGTAGTACTGACAATGTCTCCTTATCTGCTGGCTTTGACCTGATGGGTACAAGGCCATGCTTGGATGCAACTCTCTTATCAGCACATCTACATCTGTGGGGCCAGCCCTTAGCCACAAGCCAAAGTTTTTCAAACACAACCATGCCTCCAGGTTTCAGGTGGGCTTTTTGTTCTCTGGGCTTGCAGAATGCAGGCTGTGGGCTAAGCAACAATACATAGTTTGAAGGCTAGGGATGAAACTGCACGTAGTAATCCCCACATGTTGTTATGCAAGGGAACTCCCTGTTCTTCTCTTCCCAAGCGTGCTTTTTAACTTTTTCCTAGAGAGTTCATGCACTTCTGCCAAGAGAAGTATACGTGATCATCTAACTAAGTCATTTCAGGTGACAAATCCACTCTGTGTATCAAGTTGCATTTAAGTAACATATATTTTCAAAACAACCAATTGTTGTCTGAGTAAACTTGGGCATATTTGTAGGTAGGATTGGCCATGTTTTTATACTTTGTGCTTAACCTTAAAATAATTGTTGTTTTACACTAGACAGCTGTGGCTAGAATTTATGATAGACAAGTAGGAAAAAATAAATCGTACTAATTCTACCTAATGTTGGTTGTTTGCCATGACATGAAAGTTCTGCATCAAAGATTCATTTTTTATTAAATAAAAAAATACACCCATCAAAATTGTAAATAAAAAAATCATTTTTTAAACCTTAACTTTGTAAACACATAGTCAGTGAAATCCATAACTTCCCTAAATGGGAGATAAAAGTGAAAATATAGGTATGTTTTCCTTGTCCCTCTTCTTTTTCTTTTTTAACCTTTAATAAAAAAAAAAAATTCTTGTTAAACCTTTTAATTATCAATTCGAAAAATAGTTTGACCGAGAATATATAATATTCTTCATTTTAACAATTGTTCGAAACCCAAGCTACTATATCTTAATGACGCAGGTGAAATTATTGCCAACGTTAAGTAACTATATTTTAAAATTGACCACGTAGCCCCGGAACAGTTTGCGCATGAGCACATGTGTCCGCACGGAATATTTTCTTGGTTGCACAGGAGAGCTGTCAATACATCACATCCACTCTGGTTCCAGCCAGCACAGTAAGGTCATTTTTGTCTATTTTATTGATATTCGAATAAACTAACGTCGCAAAAATGGTCACTCTTGAGATTGTTTGTATAAATTTTTTTCTTACCATTTTACTTTGAGGTTTAAGCGTTTTATTGAACGTCAGATTTTTAAAAGCTACAAATGCCAGGGCTAGGACAACATTCTCAAGGCTGTTACTTTGACCAATGATTAAGGATAATATTAGTTCAGAAATACTGTGTGATTAGGTTCATGCGAACAACATTAAGGAAAATCTGAGAACCCAGACGTATTAATTCTGCCATGTTTGAGACGCTGTAGTACCAGGCCGTATGTTTGCCTTCTTACACGTCTTACACGTGATGTGGTGATTAAATTATTTACGCCACGATGTTTTAAGTAAGCTGCTGTCTCCTGATCGATGTCAACGGCGGCAGTTTTGACCGAAAGGCGCTGTGATCTAGCAGCGGTTTATATTATATCATTAATGATGGCTAAAGTATGTAAGTAGAGATGTAGCTAGTACATTATATTTAGCTCGTGAGAGTAAATATTCAACAACCTCTAAAATAGAATTTTACGTTTGATGATAGATGTGTTTTTATTCTTTCCAATTTTATTTCAAATCTCCATAATGTTTGGACCAAAAGTTTTCTAACAATTTTTCAACCACACCTACTTGCCTGTTTTTACTCTTTTATTATACCTGATGACTAGGACTGTTTGACTGTTTTCTTTCAAGAGGAGCAACATGTTGCTGTGTCCTTGTAGTTACCTTGAACAGGGTCATGTACTCACTAAGGAATTTTGTTTTGAATGTTCTGTCTCTATTTTTTCTGTCTCTGTTTCTTTTTTATTTCTAAATCTTAAGATATAAATTCACGGACTAGTGACTGCTAGTCGATACAAACTTAAATTAAACACAATTAACAAACATCTACAGTAACCACGCCTGAAATAACCTGAAATGTTTTTCATTCTTTGTAGAAATCCAGGATGAACCCGTCGGAGAGCAAAATGCTGGTTCTGGGTGCACTGGCAGGAGTGGCTGGTGTCAGTTTAGCAGTGATGTGTTACAAGGGTTTTACTTCCAGACGTCGGAACTCATATGCAGGCTTTCACCTTAACCGCACCAATGAAGACAGCCGTGACGTCATGTTTGTGGATAGTCCTGTTCTCTCTGAGGGTCAGTCCGAGGTCCTGGAGCGCCTCGAGGCCCTGATCCAGTGTGTGTCAGACCTGAAAAAGGAAATGAAAGCCCTGAAGAGCGCCATGCCTAAACTCCAGGAGCAAGTTAGAGAAGAGCTGACGGTGCACGAAGAAGGCCACCGAGCGAGCCCTTTGCACAGGACCACACCAACACGGAGGAAAAGGGTAGCCCATGCCAGTGCTGCAGCCAGAAGTGAGGGTCGAAGTTCAGAGGAAGCAGAGAGTGAGGGAGGGTGAGTATCAACTTAAAGATCAACTTTAAATTCAGAGTAAAGTTGTTTGTTTTTTGCATTTTGTGTCCTTAGTTGTTGATATTTGTTTTTGACAACAGCACAAGTCCTGTTAAAGTCTATCAGGCGATGTTCCTATGTGTGTTATTTCCAAGAACACATTTAATTTCTAATTATTCTCATTACCTAACCACTAAATAGTACAGCCAGTCAGGACTGTAATAAATAACAGTTTGTTTTGATTTAGTGACGCAATACTTCAGTGTAACTTACATTAGTGAGAATTGATTCTGAAACCAATGGATATTAACATATGCAGGTCATCATTGTTGCAACTTCTATAGGAGGGGGAAACCGAAAGGTCTTCTCCTATTTATTTATAGCACTGACAAATTAAGGAACCTAATATTAGAATATAATTGATATAATCAAGTATTATCTCATCTTATAAGTATTACTATAAGAATTAATACAATGCAATGAAAAGGAATAGATGTGAGTTTGGGTAAGTCATGGTGGTAAAGCTGTGAGTGTTGACATTTGTGAGCTGTTGTCTTCAGTACAGGGTTTGTCCAGCAGACTTCACTGTTTACATTACGTACAAGCTGCTGCTTCACTGAGATGGAACAGCTGAGCTCCTGTCACAACTTTATTGTACTGCACATGTGCATGTTCTAAATTGGTTTATGATTAACAAAAAAACCCCACTTAGTTTCATGTTATTTAGATTTTCACATAATTATTTAACTTTTTCAAATTAATAATATCTTAATATTTTACTGTTGTCCAGTCTGTTAAAAGAACATTGCAAAATCCTAATAAAGCAATCACGTAAATTACTTGAGTGGTGCGACTAAAACTGTCATCAAACATCTAAACTAACCATAAAGAAACTTTTTTTTTTCCACCATATTTTATTGTAAGAAAATTTTTTTTTTAAATTCTGCTGATGATGTTTATTTATTCCTGTTTGAGGTTCAGATTGCCTGTGACTTTGTTGATTGTATTCCTCCTGGTTGTGAGTCAGATAAAGAAAATTATTTTTTTTAATTCTGCTGATGATGTTTATTTATTCCTGTTTGAGGTTCAGATTGCCTGTGACTTTGTTGATTGTATTCCTCCTGGTTGTGAGTCAGATAAAGATGGGCCTGTTTTGATGAGAATGTCACTTGTTGGTGATGTTGACAACTCCAGTGTGATGGTGGGTTTTTGCCAAGTACTAACATCTCACCAGGTGTCAAATATTGATTAAATTCCTGGTTTATTTTTAACCCCTGGTCTAACTTATTTGCCAACGTGCGGCTTTTAAAAAGAGTCATGTGACCTTCCTTCGGTACCAGTTAAACTTGCCTGCTCATTTCATGAACTAAATTATAGTTTTGACTGTATGTTCGGTCGCCTCAGGTACTGCAGAGAACAGCCGAGTAATCAAGCATCACATGCCGAGTCACACACCTCCACCCTAGGCAAAATGCCTTGAACTTATTCCAACCGTGGGTAACATAAACAACAGATGTCTTTCTTTTGAATCGACTACCACTCAGAATCCCACAGTATATAAACAGATATCAACAGCTATGGGATGATAAAACCAAGGATTTAATGTGCTGAGTGGTCAGACAGAACTTGACATGACAGATTAGAGAAGGGATGCAGGGATGGGATGTTGAACTAGAAGATCTATGAAAAGATAATCGTGTTGTTTTATCTGTGCCCTCCTTAAATATTTTGACTGTATTTACCACTACAGCTTCTTTTATTAAATCTTAAGATGCCAATAATCTTGTCAGCAGTTGCATTCAAACCTTAACCCCAGCTTTAATGTGTGTAGTTAACTAGCAGATGGCAGCTGAATGGCACATCCCATTTCCATGGTGTTCTGTAAAGAAGAAGTCCAATGCATTGGGAAAAGGGTATATGTCAAATTCAGGTCCATCTGCACTGAAGAGGTCTGACAGAGACTAACCCTTGGATTAAAACAATAAAACATTGCAAAGTTAGTCTGTAGTTAGACAGCAGGTGGAGCTGCATCAGGGGAGATGCAAGTCTGCACTAAAGTTGGTAAAGTTGGTAAAAGAATGCCAGAAAATGTGTTTGCAAATGGCAGTAGTAATGAGAGCACAGTTCCTAAAATGGAAGAAAATATGTTGATTTTAGGAAAGATTTACTGTTGTAGTCTTAGTGCAGAGTTGATGATTTCTGAAGGATTTAAAATGTGCTATGATGGCTGGTGTGAGGACAATAAATACAACCTTAATTGAGTCCTTTATTCCTCCCACAATGGGGAAGTTTAGAGTGTGAGTCTTTTAATACGTCAAAGATAGATCTTCACCAGGAAAGTAACGAATAACTCGTTTCAACAGCCCTGTAAGTCGGCCTCCACTGAGGGTAATGATGAAGTATTTCATGCTGGTCTGCTTTGATGACTAACTGCTTGAGGTCATCCTGCTTTTATTTATAAAACATCAATGAGTATACTGTATGCGTGGGACACCTCCGAGCAGTCGTGGTTCACAGGTTTAATCTTTTAAGAGTGACAGTAGTTGGCTGCATCAAACATTCATAATTACAGCTTCTGTTATTATGCTTAAAAAAATCACATCATGTACACGCCTCCAAAAATTAAAAAGCCTTTTCTGCCGCACTGTTATTTGTTGAGCAGAGGGTGTGTGTGAGTCAGTGGGAATAGTGTGGCAGAAATTCTAACCCGTAGGGGAATGAGTAGCGTTTTCCTAGAGGAGCCAGTCCCACCTCTAATCCTCACATCGACTTAAAGAGCTCTCCTTCTACTTCTGTTCCACTGTTTTGTGTGTTCGGAGCATTCTATCCCTGTCAGATAGAAATAATTCGATTCTAATAGTAGTGTGTAGTAAATTATGTGCTTCGCTGAACTTCAAAACTTTCAAAATACCTAGTAGAATTTGTACTTTGTACAAAGTACGAGATCGAAAAAATGCCTGCTATGGAATTTATTGAACTTGTGTATATTGTGTATATTACACACATTTAGTCATGAAATAATGAATGTCCAGTAGGGGACATGTATGTATAAACCCAGCCATTGAGAATTTTGCACAGCTAGTCCTAAAGTGGGACGACTGCTTTGTGAACTTAAGGATTTTATTGTGCAGGAAATGGTTAAATTGATGCTGAAATGTTTTCTTCTGTCTTTAAAGATAATCCTTGTAGATTCCTTTCAAAGACAAATCGACTGTTGCTAGTTGTGCTAACCCTAATTGACTGATGTGTAAACAGAGCCAGCTCCTGCCACGGTGGTCCCCTGGGTGAGATTATGATTAGCCACCCCCATCATTTTATTTGTAATAGTTTATTTTTGTCCTCTGAGTGGTTAGGCCATCACCCTCTCCAGTAGATGGTGCCGTAGGCAATTGGTCAATTTATTAAAATTTTGACTGGTAAATACCACAATAGCTTTGGATTAACCACGAATAATCATCATAAATCAACAGTCCTCAGTTTGACTAAAATGCTTTCTTTTGCATATGCTGTACTTGTAACAGAAGGACAAACAGCAGGTTGATGTACAGTATGTGTTTCACACCAGTTTGTACTGTATTTCTGGTGAGTCTAAATGATGGAAATATATTTTATTATAATATGCGGTAGTATAAATAAAAATGTAGCCTCATAGAGTTGGTAGATTTTAGTCATTACCATCTCAGCCTTGACTGCTAGAAGGTATCAAGAGTTACTTTCAAAACTTTGTTGAAACCTGAGTCCTCAACAATATTATTCCATCTGGGATTGACAAATTCATGCAGCCCTTAAACAATACACAAGATATCATGTAATTGTTTGTTTATCAGATGGCTAATCTTCACTTGATGCAGTTCCACAAAAGTGTTATAAATATCATAATTAGCCACATGTTTGAAAAAGGTTTGTTTAAGGAAATAGCTTAGTGTTTTGGTGATTGAAACTGTTAAAATCAAAAGCATCAACTAAGTGTGTTTAAGTTCTATCTGTTTACTTTATAGACATCTCACATGTCACAACTGCTTCCTCAGGGCTACTTCTTTGGAGATAAGGAGAGCCATCAATCACCCTTTCCAGGTGCCAAGCTGTCAGAGGCCTTATTTGAAGGCGTCTTGCAGGAACTTGTAATTCCTTGAACAGTTCCTTGCTGCGTTGATTATTCAGGTTGCTTTTATGTGGCTTAGGGACATTAGCCTTTCATTTTTCTTTTTCCAAAAAACTAGTGTTATTGTGTAGGGATACTTGTTGATTTAAGCAGATTTAAATGCTAACCCAGTCAACACAAACACACGCACACAGAAGGAGAAAAAGGAGCACATCGTCTGCTCTGGGATTGATTCTGTGATTAAGGGCTTTAGTCGATCTCCTCTTGTGATGCCATGGTTCATGCTACTGTGCAGCTGTTTGCATCTGAGACATTCAGATTTATATCCTCAGATTCATACCTCAGTGAAAAGCTTATAGCCAAACAAACATGAGGTGAAAGAGGAGGACGTGTCCCGTTACAGGCACATTCCACATTCTCAGTCAGCCTGGCGTTTCCCTCCAAGTCTTATTTACCGAAATGGTCTGGTGATTGTGAATAGATCTACTTTCAATATTTCAAAAACTATAGCTGAAATTGAGCTGAACAGAGGATTGATATTGTGTGTGTGTGTGTGTGATGCAATATAGAATTGCAGGAATCCAACAAAGGCTAATTCAGACTGTTGTGTTATTTGAAAAACATAAGTAGAATTGTCAGTCGCATCAGCTTGTTATCAACTGTGATTCGACAATAATAATTGGTTCATACATCACTGTGTGTGAATTAGCATAGTTTTTAGGTACGTTCTATTGTGTCCCAGTTTCACTGCCCTAACTCATTGTAAATCTCACCTTTTTTTTTAAACTCTACTCTACATCTACTGTATACATTGTATGTTGGCAAAACTTTTACACCATGTTTCGGTACAGGTTTACTGCTCAGCACACAAACTTTAGCCACAATAAAAAGTCTTTCACCAGAGTACTTCTCTACAAGAAAGCTTATTGTTTTGTTTTTTTCCTGCTGTTGTTCTTTGTAAATCAATGACTTAAAAAAAAAAGAAAAGAAAAACATCCTGCAAGAAAACATGACATCTAGCATAGCACAGATAGACTCTTCCTGGGTGGCCCGCCTACCCGATGGATTAAGACTTTTTATGTAGATAAAATCGCTTTTTTTGAGCTATTGTAAATGTATTAGCACACCTGTCTTTACAGTTTCCAAAGCTGTGCTTTTATTAGATCACTGCTTTAGTGTTGCTGATTTGTTGCTTTAACATACAAGATATGGATTGTCACGTTCTGTCTTCACCAATGTAAAGTTACATTTCACACCAAGGGCAAATCAAAATGATGATGTTAACAGGCGGGTTCATCTGTGGCTCAATGAGTTGCAACTCTCTTTCCGGCCTTCGGGGGCATGAGGAGAATAAATAACCAGTTACCCTTTGGCATTGTTATACAGAAGGCTTTCATTTGTCCGTCACCACAGCTACACAGACTTAATAATCCAGGTCGCATGTTCCAAGGTCTGGTGATGTTGGGATGGTAACTCCGCTTTGTTTTGCACAGTGTAACCGTAGCGACTGCTGTTGCTAAGCCCCATTGAGAGAGTCCTTCTTTTGCCCCTTGGGTCAGGACACTGAAAGGATGATCTCACTTTGTGAGTACACAGTCACAAGCAGTAGCAGCCATCATTCCTTTTACCTACTCACCTGTTGAACAAACTTGAACGTACTGTAGTGCGTTGAAGGTGTTTTTTAAATTGGGACGACATGTTTTATTCAAGGTTCTTGGTCTGTCTCATCCATTGTCCATATTGAGTTACCCTGTGCCCCTCAATATGGCCTCACTCAGTGGGAGCTTTTTAAACTTGCTTGCTTTGTGAGAGAAACAGCCGGTTCAGTAACTCAACATCACTGTGCTCCCTGCACAAATATAGTATATACTGTCATACTATATACTACTACTATACGGTTTGATACTAACAACAGTGGTTGATCAGTGGACAGAAATATGGTTAATTATTTCATCAACCTTGTTTTGCTCTTGGCTTACTAAACCTGTGAAATTCCTTAGTGGATGATTTGACAAATGTCACGCCTAGCCTAGATAACTCTAAATTGCGTGATGCCGGCCTGATTAACAAAGTCACATTTTAGGTATTTCAGAAATTCTTTTAAACTGTAGTATTAAGTTTTAATGTTGTAAAAAAACTGCTTACTGAGTAGCTGGACATTATGAATGATTTATATCCATTTTGGACTTAGCTTGTAAAAAATCAAGAAATACTTTGGGAATTTTCTTTAATTAAAGGGACAGTTCTGTAAAAAACAAACAACCATTTCATTTGTTTTTTTTTTTTTGTTGGTAATAATAACTTGTCTTATTCCAGGTACATTCCTTATGAGGTTGTGTTCTTTGGCAATAAGTCCTAGTCAATATTTTGTCATCACAGCTGTGCTTTGCTACAAACAATAAATGGATAATGTAGGTTAATTACATAAACATGTATTATTTCAACAGGAGTTCCCTTTTTTTTTTTTTTTTTTGGCCGGAGTGTTTCATGAGCCACAGAATAGCGTGACAGGAATGTGCTGATCAATCAGTGCTGTGCTGCCTGTTGTTCCAGCTTTACTGAGTAAATAGGTGCCGCAGAGGGAGGAAGGGAGAGAGGGAGAACAGCCTGCTGAATGACTAAAAGAATGAATGAGTTGAGTGAATGAATGTATGAATGAATGAATGGTCCAGGTATCAGTAATGTAACTGCTCTGATGCACTGAGACGTCGGTGCTTTTTTTTTTTTTAACCGAACACTCCTCTATACAAAGAAGAAAAAAAAACCCAACAATAAATGTGTCAATATTCATATTAAACCCATACACACCCATTGCCATTTTTAAAGCTCTGGTATTGTATCGGCCAATAAATGTGGTAAATGTGTTAGCTGCAGGTTTAATGGTTTATTCAGGGGTTAGTGCTGAGATTGAGTCTGGATCGTGGAGCAATATCCCAAAATGATATGAAATCCAACAGAGATTAAAGGTAATACGTCTTCGAAGCTAAGCTTCTCATGCAGCTAAGGCAGTGGTGTCGAAATGTTTTTCAAGGTGATTAGAAATACTTAAGGATACGGTTAAGTAGCACACAAATACTGTACGCTGTATTTTAATGGTGTTACTCATGTAAAGCAAGCTAATCTCTCCTAGGTTTTACTGCAATAATACATGGGCTACGGACAGATTTAGTATTTCTGCTTGTGTTTTATTTTTATTTCTAAAAGTCAGCCTAGGAATTGACTGAAAGGCAACAATAAAAGATTATTTTGAAATGAAAAAACATAAATATAGCAAAGGATAGATAAAGGACACAGACAGTTAAACATTGGGGAAAAAAAGTGGCACAATGACACATCATTTTGTATCAAATTTAGTTATTAAAAAAAAATGTTAAAGCAGGTTTAAAATGACCTGGCTGAGAGGTAAAACATTGATTAAAAAATGAATTGCTAATTAGCTTGCTAACTGAAAATATTTTGGCTCCAAGGCAGCTGGGATCCTTTCAGCTGCCTTGGAGCCAAAATATATACTGCCTCCCGTCTGTTTATTTGCCACTGGTGAACCAACCGAACTGTTTTTTTTTTTTGTTTTTTTTTTTGTACTTTCAGGTACATGACTGCATACACAGACTCCGATGAAGAAGAGCTTAGTGATGCCGAAGAGGGCGATGATGAAGAACCTGCAAACAAGCTAGCCGTGTTCCTTAATAAAATAGACAGTTTGCATCACGGCACACAGTCAGAAAAACAGGAGGGTCTCAGCATCCTGTTGGAACAAAAAGAAAAGGTTTACTGAAGCTTTATGATCATTCTGTCACCTGTCATACTGTACCGTCTGTGTTTTCTGCATACAGAGACGAGATTAAAAAAACAAAAACAACAACTTCTTTTTCTGTAGTTTGGACAGGTCTCAGAAATTCTTTGGCGTCTGGTCCGAGCCTACTGCGACGTACATGACATCAGCTCCACTCTACAGGAAAGGAAGAACTATGCAGAAAATGGTAATTTAGTTGATGTTTACTTGCTGCATTATTTTATGACCGTTCCAGTCGGTGTGAGTGATATAATGTGAAAACCACAGCTCCTGTTGTTAAACACACCTCTGACGTCGGTGTCTCACCTGGAAAAACCCAGATCCACGTTATAATACGTGATTTTTGTTTGTTGCTGACCTGAGTTGGAAACAGTCAAAGGTGGGAACATTTTTAAACCTAATATTTATAGTCCACAGTGGATAAAAACGTATCACAGTCACTTGTGAGTCACCTTCACAATGACAAAACATTTTCCAGCCAATGGCCTTTTAATGTCGGGGCTCAATGACTTCCTACGCCAGTCTTATGTAACAAGACACGCAAGAGACCTCTCCCATCGCAGTGAATGCATGATTCTAAAGTTAAGGCTGGAGGTACCTGGAGTTGACAAGGATGCCCCCTGCTGCTACAGTACATGTGCTAGCCTCCTGTCAGCAGTGTTAAGGACATTGATGCTAACAGCAGTATCACAGTGTTTTTGTTGACATTTATCCAGTTATCAGTGGGGCACACTTCCTCCTGTGTAATGGAGAGAGAGTTCCACATTATGGCTGTTTTCTACTTTGTTAAAGTGCCTGCATCGCTTTATGCAAGATTTCTTTTTGTTTTCTCAGTCAACGCACACTTTACCTCTGCTAATCTTCACTCTCTTTTTGTCAAGTTCAAAATGTTGAGGACAATTTGTATTTAATTTCTGTTTCTCAATGCAGTGTCTGTTGTCAATCTTTTTCTGCTTTACAGGTATGAAAATAGGTGAGGAGGTGGTGAGCCTCAACCCTGGCTGTGCTGACAGTCATCGTTGGTATGTTTGATCTGAATCTCAACTTTTCTGGTCTAATTATGTAGCAGATCGTTTTGTTCTTGTCAGAGAAGTATTTCCAGCTGCTGTTTTTAAACAGATGAATGAGGCGTACTTCAAGATGTAGTTTGATGGCATGTGACTTGCTGTCATTAAGCTCCATTATAGGAATCACTCATGGTTGAATTAGACAGAATGAAAACATAAAACAGGTACTTTCCCCAAATGAGAGGTGTCTCGGGGGTGGGAGGGCTGTAATTTTGAATGTCTGCCTGGAGCTTCTTTTCCTCTGAGGTTTGACTTGTGCGTTTCTGGACAGTTTAGCATAGATGCTTTACGCAAATATTAAGGACACCCTCAGCGTCTCAGAAAGCCCACAGGGGTGATAACACTGACTTAAGTATACAGTTCTGTCTCTAACTAAAGCTGTTGAGATTTTCTCAGAAAAAACAAATATTCTCTTGAACCAGAAGGATATTTGTGACCTGCACAGATCGCTTTATGATTTGCATGCTTGAGATAATAGTAGCTCGCAGATCACCCACTCATTCACCTGATAGCGTCAGAGCCACTTG